GGTAGCCCATGGCAACCCACTGCCACAGGGGCTGCAGCCTACGCCGTCACCGGTGACTCATGGCAGCCCAGCTCCAGGTCGAGCTGCTGTTCAGCATCTTAGCTGTGGAGGGCAGTGTCACTGGCACTCATATGTGGGATCTGAACCGGGGCTCTCTGGCGTCCCAAGCCAGCTCTTAACCATCGCGCCACTCAGCCGGCCCCCTATGTGGCTACTTTTGATCTCTGAGTTTGTCAGGCCCGTCATGCAGGCCTCCATTGAGCTTGTCAGGTTTAGTATGTGGCTCGTTTTTCACCCACGCTATTTAAAAAGAAGAAAAATGCAGTCACCATTTTGTCTCGATTTTGACACCTTTTTCCATTTTTCTGTCTGCTTAGACTCAATGGAACCCAAGAGGAGAGGAGCTAAGAAGGGAGAACAGATAGAGACAACTAGAAAAGAGAGAGAGGACAAGTCCCTTGGGTCTGTGAGGGTGAGTATGGAAGGCAGCTAGGACAGCCTTGTGGCCACGGGGCTCAGCCGTCAGGAAGAACGGTGGTTTCGTTCACCGTCTGCCGCTCAGCTCCTGGCCTCCTAGGAGGACAGTTCGTATGTCATGGGAGCATTACAGAAGAACTCTGGGTTGGGGTGAGATAGGGAGAAGACAGAAAGTTTGCATAAACCAGAACATGAGGAAACAGATTCCCTTCTATCTAGAAAGGTAAATGGGGGAGGCAGGCGCTGCAAGAGAGTACAAAAACCCAGGCCTGACTTCCAGAAGTTGCTCCACAAACAGTAGCTCCCATCTCCTAGCCTGCCTCTTTTGTTCTGGCTCCCACCCCTCCAACCCCCACCCACCCAGAAACCCAAAGAAACCTCAACTGAAAAGTCAAGTAAGCAGAGTCCAGCTCCCTGGCCTCAGGGTAAGAAACGGAAGTTCTGTGAACAGAGGCTAAAGGAAAAAAACCAGTCTCATATTGTGCAACAGGTGAAGTCCCACATTGCCCCACCATGAGGAGTCTATGCTCTCATTTGTAATTCCTGAGTGAAGCATTTCTTCATAAGACTTTTCAGGTCTTTTGCAGCCTTCCCTTGCGATGCAGCCTCTGTGGAACTGAGTTCCTCCCTTTGTCTCATCTTCTAGAATGTTCCATTACCTTTCACCCTGAGCTGGAAGGGAGTCACAATCAGTGACTCTTCAGTAGGTGATTTTATCCACTTCCTATTGCTGCTGAAACAAATTACCACAACCCTAAAACAGCACACATTCTCTTAAAGTTCTGGAGGTCAGGAGTCCAACATCTGTTTCACTGAGCTGAAATCGAGATGTCAGTAGGACTGAATTCCTTCTGGAGGCTCTAGGGGAGACACCGTTTTGTTGCCTTTTCCAGCTTCTCGACCTGCATTCTTTCATTCCTTGGCTCCTGCCCTCTTCCTCCATCTTCAAAGCCAGCAGCATAGCATGTTCCTTCAGTTGCCACATTCCTTCTTGTCTTCTGTCATCAAGTTTTCCTCTGCTCCTTCTTACAAGGACACTTATGACCATATTTAGGGCCTAACCTGATAATCCAGGATCGTCTCTCCCTCTCAAAATCCTTACCTTGATCACATTTGCAAAGTTGTTTTTGCTGTAGAAGGTAATATTCACAGGTTCTGGGGGTTAGGATGTGGACATTTGGGGGTCCATTTTTCAGTCTACCATGGTGATCTATATACCATAGGTCAGGTCTAGGAATCATCGATTCTCTCTCCCAAACACGTCCCTCAGAATAGACTTGTGTATTTTTCACCAAAGATGACACCCTAATAAACTTTCAGGCCACCCCCAACTCTCCCTCCTTTCGCTTTTTTTTTTTTTTAAGATTTTATTGGGGAATCGGGGAAGGGGAACAGACAAGTTGATGTCCTTTTGTTCTTCAGTCTAGTGGAGGATGTTGCTTCACTGGCCCATGTTGGTATTATCATTGCGCTCTTCCCAGGTGAGGCAGATCGGTCACCGGCCTCTGGACGGCCGCTCACTGCGGCTCTTGGCAGCTCACACCGGCTGCCGGCCACTCACGCTGGCTGCCGGCCACTCAAGGTAGCTTATGGCAGCCCACTGCAGCAGGGGCTGCAGACTACGCCGTTGCTGGCGACAAACAGCAGCCCAGCTCCAGGTCGAGATGCTGTTCACCATCTTAGCTATAGAGGGTGCAGTGTCACTGGACCTTATGTGGGATCCGAACCGGGGCCCTGCTGCTCAGAGCTGACATCCCAAGCCAGCTCTTAACCAATGCGCCACTTGGCTGGCCCCCCCTCCTTTCACTTTCTTTAGGCCCTGAGAATATTCTAGAACAGTGCCATCCAATGGGACTTTCTGCCATAATGGAAATGTTCTATGTCTGCACTATGTCACCACACGTGGCCAGTGAGCACTTGAAATGTGACTAGTGCAACTAAAGAATTGAATTGTAAATTTTATTTAATTTTAATTAAATTTAATTGAAATTTAAATAACCACTTATGGCTGGTGGCTGATCTATTGAACAACTCAGATGTAGGTAGATGAAGAGCAGAAACCAAGACCAGTCAGACTCCTTGCTGCAAGCCTCTCATCACACCTTTTTGATCAGTTCTGCCCATAACCTCCTTCTCTCAGTCCCTGTGGATCTAAAGGATGTTGCTACTGGGGATCTGGGATGATGAGGTGTCTGAGGGCAAAGGAAAGAAGGGAATTGTGTCTGTTGGTCCCAGAGAGCTACAGAGTCCAAGTTCTACTTTTGCATTGAACTAAGAACACTCAAATGTTTTTCAAGGATGCCCCCTCTTTACCTTACTTAAACAATACATTGTCCTTTTGGGGACCACAGAGGCATGCCACAAGTAGCACAGAGAAGAGGTCTAACCTGGAACTTGGCACTACTCTGTCACACACTTGCCGGGTGGCCTTTAGCAACTCATTTCTCTGTCTCTGGCCCTCAGTTTTCATAATAGGAGAGGATTGGATTGGATTGTCTAAGAGGTTACTCTCAGCTTTAATAGACAATTCTATGTCCTGTGGATCAAGGCTTAATTGTGCATACAACTCTCTCAGAGCCATGTTCTCTCTGACCTGTGTAATAGGAAGTTCTGATGGAAGGGTTATGAGGGAGGCATGGCTTTAGGTTACTCCCACAACACTCCAGAGCCAAATCTGACATTTGTTCTTCTGTCCTCATGATAACACTTCACGTTCGCGTTGGGCTTTAGAGGGCTGATCCAATAACTATTCTAATCTGTATGATGACCCTGGGAAGATAGACACTATGCCCATTTTAAGTGAAAAAGCTAAGGCTGAAAGAAAAAAAGACAAAATCTTCCAGACGTCAGGCCCAGGGATGGATGCTTTACATGTCACATAATAACGGCCCTTCAAAGTTGATAATGTTACCTCCACTTTACTGGTATGAAAATTGAGCTACTTTAAGGCAAAATGACTTCCTAATGATACACTGATAATAAGTGATGGAGGCCCATTTTTCTGACTATGAACTACCTCATGTTCCCCCTATATTGTGCTGCTGCTGCTGCTATTTACAACTTCCCTACAAAATGTTGAAATGATAGTCCTTAGTATCACAGCTATCCTTTTGGGTCACCCTTTCATGGTACTCTCCAAGCAGACTTACAAGCCTCAGAAAGTCACATCACCTCTGTGCCTCTGATTCCTCATCTGTAAAACTGGGGGTAAGAGTCCCTACTTCATAAGGATGTTAAAATCCTTGTTGAAAGTATTCAGTGAGATTTTCTTTAGAGCATTAGCCTCTATGAAGTACTCAGTAATTTCTCATTCTTCCTGTGTTTGGAAACTGTAGTTTGTCTCTATTAATAATGCCAGGCAATTCCCTTGACCCCAAACCAAATAAACACACAAAGGAGCTGTCCACATATTTTATTAAGTTTTATTATGAAAACACATGGATTCAACTGCACTCTCCATGTATTCTCAATAGCAGAAAAACATTGGGTGGGCTTTCCCCATGGGGGACATGTATCCTTTGGCAAACAACAACAACAAAATATAAATAATGAAAATAACACCAAATAAAATACATAGCACATAGTAAAGATTAAATTAAGACAAGAAACAGGGACTACTGAGAGGAGCTGTAAACATGGAGAAGGTGCGTCTCACTGAGAAGTGTCAGGCTCAGGTGACCTTCCTTGGACATTTCCTGCTCCTGTCTTTGAAGGGGCTCAGTTCAGTTCCAGGTCATCCACGTACTCCTGGACCCAGGGTTCACTGGGGTTGGCACAGATTTGTCTTCCCCTTTTGGTCAGGAATCTGTAGAACAAGGAGTGATTAGAACCCCATGGAGCCTTGTCTGTGGTAGATATGTCCCTCTGCTTGACCACGACTCAAGTTGGACAGCTCCAGTGGGTATGAGACCCTTCCTGGGGTGGTACTGGACCCAGACTCCTTGTACCTTCCACCCTGGATTTAGCTGTGGTTGCCCAGACTAGGAATCCATGAGTTTTACAATCAATATGCCTACATCTCCCCATGATTCCCTACAGCCCCTAGCAATAACTTTGTCACATGTTTTTCTAAGCACGGTATAAGAAATCAGCCCATATTTCCTGTCATCTTTTTTACTTTCACTGGTTTCCTGGCCTCTGGGTAAATTCCTCCCCAGAAACCCTTCATCTTCTCCCTTGGTTCCCCGGCCCTCCTGCTTCTACCCCTCCCATCCTCTTCATCCCCAACCCCCCATCCCTGTTACCCTCTCCCCTCCAGGACTCAAAGGTGACTTCATGACCAGGCCTTCTGGGAGGGCTTCAGCCCTGAGATCTGCCTCCCTGCTGTTTGATCCACCTCCTGCCCCAAACAGGCCCCGTATCTAATCCTGCCCTCGCCATTCCTCCCTGAGGAGAGGTTGATACTTACACTACACCTGGCTGGGAGCAAAGACTGCTGGTCTCATAGTAATCCGTCAAGATTTTGCGAGGAACTTTCCGCAGCACGTAAGTGAAGCAGCAGGCAGTGGGAGGGTCGGAGCCCACTGGAAAGAAAGCCCAGGTGAGATCAAAGCTCTACAAGGAGCTGATCATTTTGACTTCTAGTTATGGATATTCAATGGGCATCTCTGTGGAGCTACCAGATCCCCAACTATAGTCCCTTGTATCTAATCCCTCCCACACTGAGTAGGAATCTCATTTTGAATACAAGATCCTAAAAGAATATCATGGAGTTGGGTTGGGTTTCAGAGCTTATGACTAACTCCTTTCATTTTACCAGTGGGAAAACCAAGGCACAGAGAAAGACAAAGACTTGCTTAAACAAGTCTACTGTTTCTCTTTCTTAAGAACACTGGAACTTGAATATCACTGAATGCCTACTAGACTCTACATCGAACAGCAGGCTACTCAAACTCCCCAGCTCCCTTTTGTCCCATCCCCAGGTGCCACTGGTGGACCTGTCCCAACTAGAAAGGTGGGGACTGCCTACACCATGGCTCTAGAAGTAGTAGCTGAAAGAACAAACTTACTTGGTGCTGAGAGTGCTGGAGAGCAGAAGGCAGCCACTAGCACGAGGAGAGACAGGACAGTCATGCAGAGCTTCATGGTCTCGGCAGAGGAGAAGCTTTCACACAGTTCAGACGACAGAACCAAGAAGCTTCAGAACCCGACTGTGTTCTGTGCTGACACTGAGTTGGGATCGCTTCTTTATAGGAACTCTGAGGACTGGGCCAGAGGTGGGGGCACAGGAGGACAAGTGGAATTTCCACGGTAGAGATGATGTCATGGTGCCAATGAGGAAAGTGAAGCCAGCTGAGAGTAGGAGCTCTGCACAGCTTCTCTTCCCCCGACGATGTCATCATGGTGGAAAAAGAGGAGGTAGAGAAATGAGTTGCGCCCTAGGGGGAAGTGGTACACCAAGAGCAGTGACCGTGACTGAGGCCAAGGAAACAATTGTCAACTCGAGAGGAAGGATGAAACATTCACACCTGCTACAAGGGGCTTGTTGATGACAACCATGTTGCTCTTGGTGGCTGGCACCTCCAGAAGCTGAGACTTTGTGTCATCTTTTCAGAGTTACCACAAGCCTGACCCCAAGATGGAAGGAGGAACCAGGACTCCATGTCCCATTGCTGGGCTGAGTGACCATGGAGCCCTGTAGGTGGGCTTAAAGAAAGAGTCCAGTATTGCATGTGCAGAAGGACCCAGCAGGACAATAATGTTTGACTTACTGAACATTTTCTCTGTGCCAGGCACTGGACTAGCTGCCTGATACACATAACAACAAACCCTACCACAACCCTGACCAGGGGTGTGATTATTCCCCTGAGGCAAGAAGGATCAGAGAGCAGAGAGTTCACTGATAACCTCAAGGCCACAATCTTAAGGGCAGTGCCAAGGTTTGAACTGAGGTTCTTCTGACATAAAATCCATTTTTTTCTATCCTGTGTCATAAATACAGAATGTGACCACAAAGAGAGAAACTGCTGACCACTAGGGGTTACACCACAAACAAAGAACCATCTTAATAGGGATGAAGTCGGGAGGGAAGGAGTTTGGGTCAGTCTGTCCTAGAACAAGGAGGAAAGAGTAGGGAAGAGAAAAAAAGGTTTCAGTATACCCACTTTGACCCTAATAGAAAAGGAGAATAAAGTCAGTAAACATCAAGTTTGGAAGACTCAGATAAAGGATGTCCTTCAAGTATAAAAATGAGATTGGATATACCTCACCATGAGTTTATGTATATTACGGAGAAAATGTGTGAACATGTGGGTGTGTCCCAGCCCTCCATAGGGAATTCCTAGTGCTCATTGAAAGCTCTGCCTGGTTGGGCAGCTGCTGTTGACCTGAAGCTGAAGTCAAGGTGATTGGTGAAGCTCACAAAGGCCAGGCATCGCTAGAGCATGAAGTGGGCAGGTGAGGGCAGTTAGGATGATTGGGTCCAGATCTCTATCCACCTGCTGCTCAGCCACTCTGACCCTCGTGCTCACCCCCAGCCCCACAATGCCACCTGCCTCTGCTCAGTGAAGGAAGAATGAAGAGTGAAAAGAGGAACCCAGGCCCCCTGAGTGCTATAGAGATGTAGGTCAGAATGGGGCAGAGCAGCATCTTGGAGTACTTCAGGGTCCCTACATAAAGTACAATGTCATATCTCTTTTCACTCCCTCCACCACCCCACACACACATGCAAACTGTCTTTCCTCCCTCCATCCTTTCTGTCCTCCCCCTTCTCTTTCTGCAAGTCTTGCTCCCAATGTTCTCATCTTCACCAAGTCCCCTATCCCAGCTCTAACGTTCTATGTTCCCTCATGTCCCATATGCCAGTGTCTCTCCTGGTCTCTCCTGGTGGGTGACGTTTCATCCTCATGTATCAAGGACCTTGCTGAAGGGAAGGAGGGTGTATCTTGTGTTCATTGAAATCTACCAGACTTTGTGCCATTTCTACTCCACCCAATCAATTTAGAGATCGTCTGCTTTTTGTCAGGAAAGGCAGGTCCAAATGTGGCCCCACCCCTCCCCTGAAACTGTTCTTAGTCTAGTGATGCTGTCACAGTGACAGAAGTAACTATCTCAGGAAATGGTACAAAGTAAGTGTCACATCAGAGGTAGAAGCAAAATGTCAGAGGCTGAAAGGGTGGAGAAGGCCATCCCTTGGCTGTAGACTGATAGTTCTAAGTCAAGTCTAAGCTCCACTGTGTGCTGAGGGGGAGATCTTGACATGGAGACCTGCATCTAAATGAGTAGGATGTGTGGGGAGATTTTAAAGATACCTCTTCTCGGGCATTAGGAGAATGATGATGGATAAGAATGGGTGATGAGCCTGTTCGGAGCCACACATGAATTTGAGTGTTGACTTTCGCTTCTTAGCTTTGGTTTGATTTTCACCTCATAGAGGTAAAATTTTTTGTGCATGAAGGACTCAACAATGATGTGGTGTTCACACTAGTGAAATTCCACACCGAGAGTACAAAGGGCTTGTGCCAGTATGTTTAGCTAAATCAATGGCCTCCACGGTTTATGTAATGAGCCCATTCTAAATATAGTGTAGAGAGAATGATAACAAATGCCTCTCGAGTACATGACAAACATGTGCTCATCTTCTCTAGAGAGCCTTTCCTGATCTCTCTTTCAAACAAATTCTGTACCTCCTCCTGTGCTACTTCTATCATGTCACCTGTAAAATAGCTACCCTGTTTCCCCGAAAATAAGACTTAGGCAGAAAATAAGACACAGCTTGATTTTAGGTGCCAAAATACGGCACCTTGGCATACTGAATATTTTAAGCTGAAGGGGTTTGTGGAAAAGGTACCTTTCTTTCTGAAACAGGTCATAAATCCATCATGTGAGGGGTGCGTGCCCTCCATACCCTAGAGGAATCATGCTACGGCTTATTCTCTGGCTAGGTCTTATTTTCAGGGAAACACGGTATCTATTTGGTTGCTTCCCACACTGAAGAGTGAGCTTCTTGATGCAAAAACCCTGTTATGCTTATCTCTGTGTACATAGTAGGTGTTCAATAAAGTTAATAAGTGTCCAGAGGCAGCCCAAACTAGCAGTGTTACTCAGAGTGCGGGGGGGGGGGGGGGGGGGCGGTGTGTGATAGGTAACATGGATTCAGAATGTGAACTCCATTTAACTAAATGAACTAAGAATAAACTGGGCATTCTGACCCTTTTCAAAATGTGATTCCTCCAGGTCTTCCACATCCTGGTCCAGAGATGACCAAATTTCCTCTACAGGTGTGACCCTCTGAGACAGCACATGTAGGGAACCTCTGGAGTTACCAGACTCTCAAAAGACATTACAGAGCTACCGAGGAGCAAGCAATAGAGGTGGTCAACCCCAACATTTTGTTTTCTCCCCGAAGGAAAGTGCTGAGATGAGTGACTACTGGGGAGACCGCAGGGTGCTGGGGCGAGAGCACTAGCCACTAGGAGGTAGAATACCTAGAGCTAGACAATTCCTTGCGAGCAATTCTTTGAGACTGGAAATCCAAGGTGAGCTGGAAATACATAGCTTTTTGACAAGATAATAAAGCAAGGACATGTAAACCCTTTGGTTTTGTGAATATGGTAGCTAAGTCATTTTGGGGAAATGGGATTGTAGCATGAAAAAACAAGTAGACAATTATCAAAAGTGCAGGGTTCAGGATGGAGACGGGAGGACAGTGAATTGATTGAAGCACTTCATCAGGGTGGCCACACTTCACCCCTCAGCCAGGCAGCCCCACTCTTTTAAAAGGCCCTTCATCACTCACTACAGCCTGCTCTTTGGCAGTCGAGGGCTGAGGGCAGTGACTTCAGGGGAGGTGAAATTCCTAAGAGAAGCGTAAAGCCTCACCTGTTTTTGGCAGGTTCAAGAAAACCTTCAGTATTCCTTATGAGGCAACTTTCTTCCTTCAAACAGTGCTTTTATACCTGTTTCTAGCTCTTTCTATGCTGGAGTCTCCAGGAAGAGAGGAAAACAATTCAGTAAAACTTCTGAATATCTACTATCTGACAGAATTGTGGATACATGCTTTGGAATGTGGTGGTGAAGTGTTAAGTACGGCTTTCCAAAGATGTGATGTCTGATTTTTCTAACAACTCTTATTAGTTTGCTTTGTTTTGAATAGACAATATACATGGTCACATACAAAATTTAGAAAATACAGAAAATCACAAATAAGAAAACAAAAACAATCCAGCATTCTAGTTTTGCATTTCACTATTGTTACTTAATAGTCTTTCTTGTTAGCATATCTTATTATTGTTACTTTACAATGTTCCATGTCATTAAAAAGTCAAAAATATTCAAAATCAGGATGCATGCTATTTTATTGCATGAAAATACAAAACTATTATATCAAATTTATTTTATTTTATTTTCCTCCCTGAGGGACTGGTTCTTTATTTTTAAAAGACACTTGGCAATTTTCAGTATGAAAACAGTTGCACTATCGGTTTTTCTTTCTCCCAATCAGCCCCCAAAGAGACCACACTAAAGGACAGTACATTTTAAGCCAGTAAGCTGCAGGTCGCTCATGTAACAGACCTGACAAAAAAGGGGGTACAGGGTACAGAAAGAAACTTCTAAAGATCAGCACACTGCCAGACTGCAGACTGTATGCAGAGAGCTCTCACAGCCAGATGGGGGGGCCAGTGTGCTCCAACCAGAAAGAAGCAAAGTGTCAAAGGAATATAAAGTTTAAAAGCAGTTTTGTATGTAAGCTACTCAAGATTTCTCTGGCACCTGCTGACACAAAGCTTATATTTAAGCATTCTGTTACTTGGATCATTTCATTCAGGTTGTCTTAACTTATTTCTATTACAAATTGAGCTGAGACTTGAAGGATGATTAGCCAGCAAAGTGTGGAAGTAGGGTTGTTCAAGCAAAGAACAAGAGACTAGCATATTTCAAAACAGGTAGAAATATATCAATAATAATGATAATGGTAACTAACATATAGCAGTATGAGCCAATGACAGTCTAATACTTTTATAGATGCTAATGTATTTAATCCTCTCAGGCAGGCACTACTATCATCCCCTTTCACATATGAGGGATATGAAACACAGAGAGTTAAGTGACCTATGGAAGAACACACAGATAATACATGGTAGGTAAGTAAGTGACACCAAGGGGGTCTGGCTCCAGACTGTAAGTAAATAAGAAAAGGAACATGTGCTTATTATAAATTTATGTTAAAATCTTAACAGCCAAAGTCTGAAATCATGATGTAAAATGTCTTTCGGTTTTACATTTGGCATGTCTTTGAACAGTAAAATCCATAGATTTTTCTTCTTACAAAATGAAGGGAATTAAATAGTGGTTTTCCTTATTTGTTCTAAATCTTAATCTCTGCAGCTGTCATGGGGC